AATGGAACACTAGGAAGGTAGCAAATGAGTTAGGATAAGGAGTTACTGGCTGGTTCCAATTGGCATAAAAAGCACTTAAACAGCCTTATGTATCAAATTTGACCTTTACGGCATTTATTGTGATTGCAGGATTCCATTCTGGCACTCAGTAATAATAATAACAAAAACATTACATAAGTAACTATTTTGCACAATCGTCTAATTAGATATAGACATGAAATATGAGCCGTATGAAAAGGAGCAACAACACGTACCAGATGTTCTCCCTCCTTGAACGCTCGAAAGTCTGCATGACGGGGNTGACGGGTGCATTCAACCCAGCGTAATTTCACTTCTGCCGAACGATCACCCACTCGTTTCCAACCCAATTCTGTAAGTACGGGTTCAACTCTGATTTAGTGTAAGGAGTTGGATGAGAAATAAACAGCGGATTTGGAAAAAAAATCGGTGCTTTCATGGTGCATATAATTTCACGGATAGTGTGCAGTTGAAGAAAGGTTGCTTCCGAAAACGGGCGAGAATAAGCCGTTCACTCAAAGTCTAACACAATAAACTGTGGTTTATGCACTGATCAGATTGGTGAGGTTCCCCATTTTCTAACTTTCACCCACCTCAATTGGACGAAGCGGAATACTGTAGACGGCTGATCGTTACCAAAATGCGCCTGTCAGTAGAGAGTAAACCTGATAGACGTATTTCGATATTTTCAAACCAAAATACAGTAAACTGATCCTAAGTGCGAAACAGGATATAATACATCTTGCAGATGGCTACCATTCACAGGAACACCCCAGAGACAGAAAGGCATTTCATTCCGATATGTCACTCCAGGTACTGACCTATATGGGTTGATTAGTAGTGAAACCAACGGAAACCGCAATCCAGTGCAGTGCGGGTGTTGTTGGATGTGTGCGCATAATATTCAGCGGAAATAAATCAATGAAGTCATTAGAAATCGATAGTGAAAACGTATGGAATATTTACGACCGGAAAGCAGTTCAGTAGACAGGAACAAAACGAGTGCATAAATGTAAACCGAAAGCCAGTGAACGCGAGGGGTAGATAGTGCGATATGTATTGATAAGAATATATAGGAAAATCACTTTATATAGAATGGGGTACCTTTCCTACGTTGGCATAATGTAAATGATTGGACGACGGCCATTAGGCATCTGATCACGCCGTTTCTCAATTTGAATACATACAAAACATCACAAACAATACTTGCATTCTTATTCCAGACATCGGACCATGCGCATCTCACTAGTAGCCTCCAAGCTTGTCTGTAATGAACTCGCAAAGATGGGTTGTTCTATATCGTGTATAGCGAAAATGAAAAACGGTTTGATCAGCTGCTCGGTGGCCGATTGGGTGGTGTGCTTGTGTTCTAGATTCGATCCCCAGTTAGGTCGATCGATTCACGCTACTGATGAGACCCAACCAGTTAGAAAAATATATCCTGTACTTCCCAGTTTTTCCGTTTACGCTTCAATGGCTTCATATATATCGGTTTTGACATTCGAGATTACTTTCGAAGGCGAATAATAATTTTTAATGATTAATTTGCCTGCCTCTAGAGATCATATAATGAGTTGACTTGATACGCGAGGTACATTTCTAGTAGGTTAAATGTCATTGTTAGTTGAATGAGCGAGAGTTTATCATTTCAACATGTCACTCCTTCATGTGATAAATACAGGCTAGTGGATAGATCGTTCAAGCTAACTTTTCGGCTATAAACCTGTGTTTAACTTCTTATACCTGTTTCATATATCATATACTTCATTACATTCAAATCCGACAATATTCAACTCACTTTCAAGTCCGTTGGTCAAATTAGTTTCGTATATGGACCTTTGCGTCGAGAACTAATGGTTGTTAATCAAATCTGATGTGTCTAATAATTGACTCTCAGCCTAAAACTAACACGCTAAGTGTAGCTTAACTTCTGTGGTTTGCAGGTTACATGTTGAGTACGCTAAACTATCACTGCAGTTGTCGAGTGATTTCTCTTAAATTCGATACACCAACTTTTAAGAATCCTTCAGTTGATTTTCTGATAACCTGAACGAAGCCATACTAGTGTCTAGAAATTTCAAAACTCAGTAGATATATGTCCCACTACAGGTTTACGAACCGATGACCTGGGTTCCAAATCGGCTGGTATCAGGTTGACTCTGAAAAGTCCTCGAAGCGATCTGACAATCTGAGAACGCGTGCACAAACGAGGCTATGGGGCCAAACATTTTCCAACTAATTTATCACTTTTGTGTCTGAAGAATTTTCACCACAGTCTCACTTCGGGAACAGGAGAGATGGAAGATTCAATCTAAGAGATTACCTTAAGTTGACAAGTTGCAACTGCAAGGGTTGGCAATTCATATAAGATATTCATATGAGATTTTACAGATACACCCATCTCCCCAAAGGTGATTGAATGATCTTTGGGATTGGGAACTCACCCCTACCAAACATTGTAACAACAAGGAAAAGTTCATTTCAGTCCCATGAACGGATTTTGGCTGAAACGTGAGCAGATCATAATATTTTATAATTAATCCTTTCCCACCAAACACCAGATTATAAATGATAACACATCAGTCGGTGGATTAATCACAGTAAACGAGGTTGTTCGGGATTATGTTTGGTATCTAAAAAGGACTAACTAGGGCTTCCAAGGAGTGACTCAGTAAAAGAGTGGTGGTTAGTCCCTGCCTCTGCTTCCTATCTGCGTTACTCGTAGAAGTACAGGAACCTGTGAAAACGGTGCGCAACCCGGGGATAAAAGGACATTTTTTATGTTCATAAACTGGGCAGGTCTATAGGACAGATGGTTCTCCAAGGCCAAAATATATGTAAATATTTGTCCCCAGAGAAGATTTAAAACAACGAAAATGTTCGGCTCAAAAATAAAATCATATGACTAAGAAATAAACACGCAATGGAACTGCCTTCCAGACCTCTCTCGGTCGAATTGTTATAGCATGCCATTAGTGAGGGAACAGTGCTAGCTGCTGGTGAATGACTTTTTTGTTGATTAAAGGCAAGGGACTAGGTGTCAAGGAACTTCGGCCTGATTCGATGGTGTTCACGTATTTCAACATCGAACTTTTTTTTCCCGCGACTAAATCCTTTGTGAGGGTTCGAATGCGCTGTATGATTTTAGGTGCATAGACAATTGTGAGGGCGTGATTCCAATTGGTGATGTTTAAATGATAAACGAAACCGCATTAGAACTGGAAAGCGTCAATCTGTGCTACTACCGAGTAGAGAACATTTGAGACTAATCTGTCAGGTTGTGGTTAATTTCACGATTGACGAGTTCTTTGAGGACAGAAGTGTGGTTCCATTGGTCCTTTAGGAGGGTAGGGCGCATCACTTTGCAAATGCACAATATAATTAGTGGTATAGTGTCTATGCACTGAACTTCGCAATCTACATTTCATGATGTTTTACCTTCCCGGCAAAAGCAATCGATCGTGATGTGGTGGGGCCTTTGAATTTCGGCTGTGCTTTTCGAAATTGGACAACTATTTAAGTTTTTACAGTGGATACTATTGACCGTACACGTCCACATCGATTCACCAATTTTTTCAAGGTCAGATGCCGACCTACAACTTCCACTTTATGAAATCTTTCTGTGTTTTCGCGAATGACATTGAAATCTCAGCTTTTTTTCATTCCGTGAAGAATCGTTTCAAACGGCTGAGAAGTAAACGTCAAGGTCACCGTAGAAAGCATCGCGCTGGCTGGCAGGTTGCTCTCCGGCGAAGTTCTATCAACAGGATGACCATTCCGTCCATTTGTTCGAGTAACATTCGCTCACTTGTGGGAAAAATCGATGACGTCCAGAATCTGGTGCAACAGAAACAATGCAAAAGTGTGGGAGACATTTTACTTCAGGAAAGCTGTGTACACCCAGATATTGAGGATAATGTAGTCGGATTAGACGGTTTCATACAAGACCCACTTCTCGTACGCTACGGAAGAGAAATAGTTCTCCTGAGAACTTCTCCCGACTACGGGACTTAGTTTCTTCCACTGACTTTTCGGTGTTCTTCCATAACCAGCTGTCTTCTTCTCGTGAACACCTTACCGACTATCGTAATTTCTGCTATGACCGATGTTGTCTGGTTGAAACTATTTATATTCGGACCGATAGGATTTCCTCTCCCCCTGCTTAAGCGACTTCGTCCTGCTAAACAGACGGCATATATGGCCGACAGGCGTAACAGTGTCAAAGAGCTCTCTGTTCTGATTAGAGCAGAAGTAAAACGCCTGAACGGGATGTACATCGAGACTGTTTCGGGCAACAAAATTTTTCGTGAGATGTGAACTACCTTGCGGAAACTCTGTGGCTCACGCGTGAGTTCTTGTCCCAACATTGAGGTACTTAACCGTCAATTTGCTTCTGTACCTGCATCTAGCTCTCTCCCACCTCCATTTCCTATCCATGATGCAATTAACCCTGTTTCTCCGGATGAGGTCCTCCA